AGAGTTAAACCTCCAGTTTACACTCCTCACTTAATCACTACCCAATGACACTTTAGCCTAGAGACTCTCTAGTACCTGAGTATACCCACTTACTCCCCCACTATCACACACCTGTGATATCAGTTACAATTTGAAAAGCAGTTTTGAAGAAACACTCTAAAAAACACACCTTCATCTTGTTTCACAGCTTTGATCAAGGAACTCACACACCCTTGCTTCACAGCTTCGAGTGAGACATAGCCTAGAATCTACCTATCCAATGCAATCATCCACCAGACAATTTCTTGGAGTACAAGTATTCCTAAACAGACTTTATACGTGAAGACTAGCCTTCTTCACTTCCTAGGACTCTCTGCTTTGCACTCTCTATTCTTCTGTCAAGAGCTGCTCTTCAGAATTGCTCCTTCTGATATTTATAGCCGCTTCAGTCCTTTGGGTATTGGTGCATAAATTAGGTTTTATCCATAATAAAACCTGTCTTCAGTATTCTGCACGCTTGCCACTTTAATCAGGTACATATTAGTTCCCTCGGGGCTTCTAAAATTTCTCCTGCATTCTAGCTTGAGCTTCTGATCTGTTTCCTGAGTTCTAGCTACCAGAATAACAAACATGCGCTTGATGTCATACGACCTATGTCATAACATTGAGTATGACATCCAACTTAACTTATAGTTAGCTGAGTTAACTTACCCTGCACAGTCCATATTATGAATGTATCAATATCAGACATGACATTCATACATACACTAATGTATTGCCACAAAATGCAGCCAATCAAGAGCACTTACAATACAGAATGTCATGACTCTGATCGTATGACATTCAGCGAGCAGATTGGTTTTTCTGGTAGCTAGAAATCAGGAAACTTATTAGAAGCTCAAGCTGAAAGACAGGAGACGTTTTAGAAGCCCTAAAGTGAAACAAAATGCTCCTGAATTAAATGACAAGTGTGCAGATTATTGAAGAAAGGTTTTGTTATGATTAAACCTAATTTATGCACCCAGGCCCAAGGACTGGCTGCTGCTATAAATAACAGAAGGAACAATCCTAGAAGAGCAGCTCTTGACAGAAGATTAGAGAGTGCGTATAGAGAGTCCTTGCGAGTGAAGAAGATTGTTCTTCACGTTTGTATTGTGGCTTAGGAATACTTGTTCACCAAGCAATTGTCTGTTGTAGAATTGCATTGGTTAGGTAGTCTCTAAAGCTGGTGTAACACTCAAAGCTGTTAAGCAAGAGTGATGTGTTCTTGATCAAAGCTGTGAAGCACGATCAAGGTGTGTTTGAAGTATAACTTCAACAGTCATTAGTAATTGTGTATTGATATCACTATGGTGTGATTGAGGGGGAGTGAGTGGGCATACTCAGGTCTAGAGTGTCTCTAGGTTGAAGTGTCATTGGGTAGGTTTTAAGTGAGGAGTGTAAACTGGAGGTTTAACTCTGAATTAATTCTACTAATAGTGAATTTCCTCCCGGGCTTGGTAGCCCCCAGATGTAAGTGTTGTTGACATTAAACTAGGTAAACAATTACCGTGTTATTTACTGCCTTTCTCTTTAACTTTTTAATTATTCCAATAGTCTGTGTTACAGTGGATGTCATAACATCCGTGATAACATCCATTGCGTGTTAGCCAGAATTACAGGAAGCATAACAACATGTTGGAAAAGGTTTAGAAAAGGTTTCATGCATTAAAAATGATTTAGAGAATGTTTCATACATTAAAAATATGTTTTTATGTGAAAAACAGGTCTATAAGTCGACCTATACGAGTTTCAAGTCGACCTATGTAACTCATTTTTAAAGCTTGTTTTATGTGTTGATTGCATAGGTTGGCACATAAGCTATACAGGTCGACCTATACGAGTTTTAGATCGACCTATGTAACTTATTTTTAAAGCCTGTTTTATGTGTTGATTGTATAGGTTGGCACATGACTTATACAGGTCGGCCCATACGAGTTTCAGGTCAACCAATGTAACTCATTTTTAAAGTCTGCAACCTCAGTTTGATGTGCTGACTATAATAAGTTGGCACCTGACTTATACAAGTCGGTACATGCATCAAATAGGTCATCCTATGACTTACGTAGGTCGACACATGCATTAAAAATCTTGAAAATTTTGCATCACTTTCTAAACCAATTGCATTCCTATTGCTTATAACTTATACACATATATACTTCATACATGCTTAATTTCTTTTTGGTGATTTTGAGAAAATTATAAACAAAACCGGTTCGAAAGAGTGCTCATCATCTTTAACCTTCATTCTATGCATACAAACAAGAAAAGTACACATAATCATTCATTGTTTAGGTGCCATATAGATTTAATGTTGATAACGTCCAATTTAGGTTAGTGAATAGTAAATTGGGTTGAGATCTTTAAGGATTTCAAATAAGAAAATCAAGGTGGGATTTTCCTTTAAGATTAATTGGGTATTTGAAGGTTTTGGACAAGATCACGCAATTTAGATTCGATAAAGTGATGGCTTTGAAGAACAGAGGTATTTTTTTTGCAAAGGAGTAGCGTAAGACGGTGGATCATCTTGGTAAATCTTAGGTTACAACAATTTGCAATTTGGATTCGATCGAGTGAAGGCTTTTAAGAACGAAGGTTCTTGCAAAGGAGTAACATGAGACGATGAATCAAATTGGTATTGTTGGGTGACTTGATCGATTTCAGATCAAGGGAAGAGAAAGTGTTGGAATCAATATTAAACATGGGGTTTGTGTGGTTGCATTGCTACATTTATCTTGTAAAATACTTTTGCAAATTAAGGTTAATTTTCATTATATCAATTCGAGTTCGAGTTGAGGGCAGATGTACCCACAGCGAGGTCGATTGAGGAACTTCCTAAAAAAATCCTTGTGTACTCTCTCTCTCTCTCTCTCTCTCTCTCTCTCTTAATTTTTATTTACAAATTATTGAATTCTATGATTATGCGATCGGTATGTTTGGTTAAACCTTTTGATAACCTTTGAAAAAGGTTTTGTTGAGTTGATCATAATCTATTTGATTGTGGTTAGATTTGAAAATCAATAAACCATACAAAATTCTAAACGAAATTGATTGCACATTTGACAATTTGTATCAATTAAGTTTTTGTGTTTGTTATCATTTGAAATAACTTTACTTGTTGAGTAAATTTCAAGTAATCATGATTAAAGCATATTGATTGCTTTGTCTATCCTTATCTTCAATTGGTTTTCATATACACATATCCGAGCTTTTTGATAGCGGTTCGGTTTAGATGATTCAATCTGGGTCACTTCCGCTAGCCGTTAATTTTTCAAAACAGATTTTGTAAAGCAATTTTTTAACTTGGGATCTTTTCACCTTTTCTAAATAAGTTGCCTCCGTCTAACAAAATGTTTCACTATATGTGAATTATAGCATGATTATGAACTTTTTGCTTATAAAAAGTTTGATTATACTAATGTATAGTGAAAACATGTTAATGTGAGTCAAGATTTTTAAGCCTACCAAAGTGAGATGTGTGTAATATCAGGTTTTACATAAATAATGAGAGTGGACATGCAAGTTAACTATGTAGATTTTGCATCAGTCTTGTTACTACCTGATATATTTCCAATCCCGGATATGATCAAGGTATTTTTTTCATTTTGAGTGGAAACTACTTGATCAAAAAGCCTACCTAATGAGGGCGTGATTCTTTGACAACCTCTTTGAGTCTAAAATGAAAATTTATGTTTTTTCAATGTTATAACCCTTAGCCAATTTAAAAAAGAAAACAATGTTCTCCATCTCGTCTTAAGAATATGAGAGCACATGAAAATGAAAAAGTATTTCAAAAATAAAGTTGGGAAGAAAAGGAAATGTGTGAAAAATAAAATCAAGTGAAGTTATCTGTGGGCCTCCCGCTACGCTTGAAAGTCACCATATCTCTGACGAGTGAGGTGTAGTGACTTCTACATTACTGTCGCATTGAGTCCAATCCATAAGATGCACATACCTTAACGTCTCTAGATATATTCTTAGCATTTCTCTCTTATCCCTTAATGTAACATTCAAAATGTGCCATGATTTCACTCATGGAGATGGTGGGCTTCTGGGCAAGAGATTCATTGAGTTCCCAACTCTGAAATAGTTCTAGAATGCTCCCACGAACATTTAATGATTTTGATGTATCACCTTAAGGTTGCCTCGTTAAAGCGCGCGAGGTACTCTCTTAGAAACTTAATATGTCCCTTAAGGATATTCAAACATGCTAGTTGTAAAAACCTTTCGGTGCTTACTTGCTAAAAAATTATAAACATGTTTTCTCGAGAGGTCTTGGTAACTAGTTACTGAAAGGAGGGGAAGGATCATGAACCACCTTAGGGGCGCCTCCTTGAACGTGTTAGACAAAAGCTTGCACTTCAATGAGTTGGAGGCACCTATGATCACATCTAACTTTTGATGGCGACAACATGTTCCTTAGGGTCATTATTCATATCAAACTTCACCACTTATGGGTTACTTCTTTCAAGACTCAATAACAGGTCGATGTTAGGCGACCTAATTCATAGTCGAGCAACCTGAGATAACCCTCATCCGATTCTTTTCCTACTTATGAGTTACTTCTTTCAAGACTCAATAAAATCATCTTCGTCTAATATCTCACTCAATTATTACAATATTTTATTAATAATACATCATTCAATTCTATACACTCAAATGAGATGGAATAAAAATTCAAAAATTAAATAGAAGAAGATGAAATAGATTCATCATGTTTCATTTTACACTATATTATTATTTACAAACTCAAACAATAAAATCTTATCAATTACCACTTCATTCCATTACACCTAATACCACCTATCTAAGTATAACCTTAACTAGTACCTTTTAGATTATTTTGCTTTACCAAATAAACAAATATTTTGATCAAAATTTGTTTGTCTTTCTTCTATTTTGAAAAGAAGATAGACCATAAACGAATCTACATTAAAACCCCTATTAAATCAAATAATTTTCATAGTTTCATATGTTTTTTGATGGCTGTGTCCAACGCTTACCCGAACTTCCAAATTTCCCCTCATTTTCTCGCTTCCCCTCAATTTTCCCGCACTCTTCCACCGGTGACACGGAAACGTTTCCGACCAATCAGTGCCTTCAAAGAATGGCGCGAGTACGAAGAGGCAGTGAAGCGGAAGGACCTCGCCGGAGCTCTCAGTTTCCTGAAATCCCTTGAAACCGACCAACGCCTAACTGCTGAGCCTTTCGGTGAAGAAACTTCTCCGCTGTCCGAGTTGACTCGGTCTCGTTTCCGCGAATTGGAAATGTTTGGGCCGCAGAGGGATTGGGAAATTCTGGATACCTGCATGAGTGCTGATAACATGAAACTTGTTGGGAATGCTTACAAGTTTCTCAAAGATAGGGGTTTCTTGCCTAGCTTCGGTAAATGCAGGAATATTGGTGAGTTTTGAGCCTTTCTTTTTTAGTTCCATAGCAGAAAGTATAATTTGTTGAATTTTTTAATCATTTCAGTTGTTCTAAATAGACACTGTTATAAATAGCAGAAAACAGTGGTTTGTACTGAATTGTAATAGCAGAAACAACAGCAATTTGTTAAAATTCTGCTACCCTATCCTTATAGAGCTATAGTTACTAAGTTGAAAAGATTGCGATAATGGATCAGAATGATGCCGCTCTGACGCGACTGGGAACTCCTGTGTCCGCGGTATACGATATCACCCTTATATTTTTAGCAATATATTGATAATTTTCATGTTGATATAGAATATATTGAGAGGATAAAGAGGACATTGAGTTTTGATGCTTAGTTACTTTAAGCTTTAGAGGCTTAAATGTTTGTTTCCTTGAATTTTCTGGGCATTTGCATGTATGTTTTGTCTAAGACTTGTGGCTTTTATTTCTAACTATGAATACTTTATGAATTTAAGTAATTTATTTTAGTTTTTACCAATTATGTGTTTATTAGTATTAACTATATTAGTATTCCCGTCACTAAAATAACGCTCCGCTTCCCGCCCTCTCGTTCTGTTCCATTTTTGGGGATGGCTACGCTGCTGTCCGATATTGATATACTAGGACCGTATTAGTTCAAAGGACTAAGGGTCAATTTGTTTTAGATTTTTGTAGTGTTGATTTTGAAAAAAAAAATGATGTAAACAAAGTTGATTTTGATATAGTTTAGTATTAACAAGTTTTTTATTTGGGATGATATTATAACAGTGAGTTTTGAAGAATTAGTTTTTTAGACAATAAAGTAGAATCACTTTTAAAGTTTAATATATATAAAGAACAGAACTTTGTGAACCTTCCATCAACAAATCTTTTTCTTTTCTTTTTTTTCTCAATTAAAAAGTTGAAAACATTCCACTTCCTTTACGACAATTTTGAATTTTCCATCTTGAAATTCAACCTAACATACATGATTATCAAAACCCAGTTTTCTTCATTGCCACCACACCATACCAACAAGGCAACAACCCTTTGGAAATACCAATGATTTATGTTTGTTTTTCTCAGGTATTAATTACATTGGGACTTTTGCTCTCTCAAGGATTAACCTGATGATAATTATTTTAGGAATGAATTCAAGGATTCACTCAAAACTTAAAACCAATCTTTTGTAATCGCTTACCACCTAAACTTTTGGGGAGCTTGTTTCCAACATGTATGAGAGTCTCGATCAAGTGGTTTTTGTGAGATTATGAAAGTGAGAACATAGTCTTGGTTACGTTTGTTTGGGTCATTAATGCTACCAATGCATTTCCTCTAGTGATATTGTTTCTATACCATGAACTGTATTGAGAAAGAAAAAAAAAATCTGAATTGCATGTGAATGCATCCACATATTTTATAGATTATATATACCAATCTTGTTACATATATAGCTTATAGAAGGACACCCTGGAAGTCTTCGTGAAAAATCTATTAATTGATCTTTTAAAGTTTTGAATTAACTAAGCTAGTGGTGATGTCTCTACGAAATGACATTCTATCTCAATATGCTTAGTTCTCATGAAATATTTGATTTGAGACGAAATGCTGTGTAACTTGATTATCACTCTAAAATGTTGTTTCGGATTGTCGTATTTGAATTTTGCATGTCTAAGTTAGACCATACTCACCTCTATTTAATAATAAGCATAGTAAATAACAAATACAATCTATGCTAATTGATATGATTTGTTGTTGAAATTTTGATTTATGATTTTAATCCTAATCATAAATATATGGGTTTGATCCTTTGATTCTAACGATCACAAATGAACCTGTCCAAATCGAACCTCTTGAAGTAACTATTTGAGCCAGAATTTGTAGCCGATGTCATGTTTTGATGTCCTGTCTGGAATTGGAAAGATCTTCACTTGCAGTCTAAAGGAGTAGATACAAAATACAAGTAAGAAAAACAAGGAAAATGCAAAGATGACATATGATGACACTTCAAACTACCATTTTGAGGAGAAAGATTATGAGTAGACTGAATTCTCTTTTAAGTGTAATAGACAAAGTAGAAAACTTGGATTGGCTGGACCAAAATTTTTGTAACTTTGCAAGGGTAGCCTGACCCATTTGAGCATGGTATCAAAATGAGGGATTTTGTAAATGCAAAGATGGTTCGAGAGTTGGTAGAGGTTATTAGGCTCACTATGTTGCAATAGCACAATATAGCACCACTATAGAGGAATAGGCGTAGCAGTGGTAGAGTTTGGTGTGACGCTATAGATCTGTGAACCACTGTCAACAATAGTGGTTGCAGCGGCCGCTAATTGCAGTCCCATACCGCTATCGCAGCCGCTATTGCGTTTGTTATTAGAATTTTGAGGATAAATTCCTCATATGATTTTTTAAACTGTTGCCTTTTTTTTTTTTTTCCTAAGGGTATAAATTTCAATCCAAACCCTTTGAAGAGAAATGTTATCTTCTTGCTCACAAACAATCGTTATGTTTTTCTTACTTTTAGTTCGATTCTGTTTTATTCTTCTTCTCTTCTGAAGTTTTATTACTTTACACGGTTATTTAACTATTAAGTGTCATGATCTCTTTAATTTTGTGTATTTATGTTTACTTTGCACATTACTTTTTAGTCTTTGCAATAATGGCTATCCTGCTATCTACTATGCATTTTAGGGGATTGGTGCTACGTAACCCTATCCGAGATTAACAACACAGGGCTCACATTGGAAGCCAATCATCCGACCAAGACTCTGGTTATGCAAGAAAACAAAATCATAGTGAAAGACACGGCACAATAAAGCAAGAGAGCGAGTCAAGTGACTGATAAAAAGTAAAGTAATTGGGCAATCTATAATATTTAGTACAAAATAAGCGAACAATGAAGGACGGGGATGGGTAGTAACTATCCATTTGGACAGTGTTTTGGACTTGATCTGAAAAAAACCACGAGTTTGTTTTCCAAGTTGACATGACTAACAAGACAGGGTGGATACGTTGGATAAATTGACATCAATTTCTATTACTTTCCAAGGCTAGAATGACCTAGTAAAGCATGTATCAAAGGTGGGGGAATTTATGGCCTTCAAATACAGGGATAATTGGGGAATGGATAACTGTTAGAGGCCATTAGACTTACAACTGACACCGATGATCTGGCCTGTACTCTGGCCATATAGGAAAACACAACCATCAGTGCAAGATATGACATATTCTAGGGAGCAAGTTGATCAATTAATAGAAAGCAAGTTAAATGGGAAAGTTAGGATATATAGTATCTGACTTATCAATTACCTGAGTGTGGCCTTCCTTTATTAGCATCCAGATACAATAAACATTTAACTAGGAAATCCCATAACATATATTATAATTTGAATGGTTGCGTGCGTCCAAATGACTATTGCATGGGTTGTGCTTGTCTGCTTTGGTTTGGTCTGGCTTTTTTCTATGGTGTTGGTTATTTGTGGATTGTTATGGTGTGTAAACTCTGATATAGCTTTTTGTTACAATAACTTGCATTCATCTATTGTGTATAGTCTTGGAGGGTCCGAGGAATGTAACACCAGATGTCTTGAGCTCCTCAACTGGTTTGGAAGGTGAACACATAAATTTCTGACAGTACTTTCACCCTAAATTGCAAAAAAAATTCCCAGTTTCAGTCATGCTACATATAGACTTAATAGCATTTTATACAATTCTATACTTCTGAAAACTGTTTTTTCAACTTAACTTTCCCTTTCTTCTTTATCCAGTGACTAAACTTGTTCCAAAGAAGTGGGGCCTCACGGATGGTTCTAGGATTGCTTTGGTTGCTTTTCTTGGCGGCGTGTCCTTTCTTATTTCACAGGGAATAGATCTCAGGCCCAACCTTACAGTGGTATTAGGTCTAGCAATTGCAGATTCTATACTCCTGGGAGGTACCTGTTTAGCTCAAGTATCAAGTTACTGGCCGCCATATAGGCGCCGGATCCTCATTCATGAAGCAGGACATCTCCTAATAGGTATATTCATTTGTTTCTTAAGAATTTCAGAGGTCATATCATATTTGATTTCCCCTCATTATATGCTGCCACACCTAACACCTTACATGGTTCATTTTAATGGAATTTCAGCTTACTTGATGGGTTGCCCAATTCGGGGGGTGATTTTAGATCCAATAGTTGCAATGCAAACGGGTATCCAAGGACAGGTATTTTGTTATTCTTTTTGTTCATAATATGACTTCTTATTGATTCAAATGGTCACTTCCTCGTATAATATCTTTATTTGACCAGACAGTTTGATGCGTTTTGTCATTTCAAATGAAAACACTTCATATTATTATCTAGTTATCTCTGTTCTCCTTAGTCTCCCTACCTTACTCGCTGTCTCTAGATTCTCCTCCCTTTTATCTTCCTTCCCTGTACCACTGTTCTATTTGTCCTTCATCAGTTCGATCACAAACATTTCAACTACCATTCGTAGTCAAATGTACTCTTAGACGTTTTGGAACACCAATTGAAGCACTTTTGGTGATGCAAAAAAACTTTTGATAAAAGTCTGTTTACTTCCTTACTGCTAGCCTTCTGTTAAATGCTATACATGCATAATTGATGGTAATAATGATGATGCTTGTATGTTCTTTCATGGTACAATTATTGAAGACTTGCCTGTAACTAAGATAACTAACAAACTGACAGACAACAAACAAACCCAACCCAACTAAGATAACTAACTAACTTCTATATCAACTCTTAAGTATTTTAATTTCCATTCATTCTGTATCCTAACATCTACTTTTTTTAATTGAGTATTGTTGACAACTGCTGCCAGCTTAATACTTCTAAAAATATGAAATCTTACTTTCAAACTAGTACTACTATTCAACAATTTACAATATCAAGAAAACGTTACAGGGAAAAGCCCCTACAAACCTAAACGTAGCTCTGCTACTTTCTATCATCAAGCAGCAATGTCATAAATAGTGGATAATGTCTTATTTGTTTTTCTTATACATGCATTCTTGCATGCCAATGCCAACAAAATATAGATTTGTTTCCTGTTCATAAATTTTTATATGCACAAAATGCATCTGTATTTTTACAATTATTTAACTTCATTTTCATTGCAGTAAATTCTTGTTTTATAGGCAGGGACTCAATTTTGGGATGAGAAAGTTGCCAACGACCTTGCTGAAGGCCGACTTGATGGTTCAGCTTTTGACAGGTGAGTATGAGTATAGAATGAATAGATATTTTGAATCAAGCGCAAACTCTAGCTAAAGAGTTCATGATAACAACATAAATAAGAAAATAGTTTTAAGAGATTGACTAAAAAATACCCTAAGATAATATCGATATGTTATAAATATTTTCATATCTTCTTAAGCTCTCCCTCAAGCTAAATATTACTAAGCTTTAAGCTTGTTATAAATGTAACCTTTGAAAGAGAGAAATTAACAAATAGTTTATTTTTATATTGAAAATCAGTAGGGCAGAGATCATAGTCACAGTCAAAGTCAAGACCAAACTGCAACTGGGGCTAACTGGCTAAGTTGGGGCCAGCCACAGTTGAGACAAAAAAACTGGTTCCATATCGCAATTGAGACAACCAATAGCAAACGACAAACCATAATTGAGATAAAACCAATATCAAACTGCAACATAGACTAAATCAATAGCAACTGCAACTGAGACCAAATCAGTGGCAAACCACAACTTAAAAAAACTGGTGCCAAATGCAACTGAGAGAAAAATAAACACAAACTGCAACGGAGAATAAACAGTATTTTTGAAGAAATAGGTTCAATATTAGGTTGGATAAAAACACAAGGATAGATCCGAGAAGATCGTGTGGAGGTCCAAAATACTATAAGGGATGGTCCAAAGTACTACAAGATATTTTCCTATCTCCTAACAAGCCCCATAAAAGATGTTGTCTTTGTATGTTGGCTCTACCCTCCTAAGGTACTAATCTCTAGGGTAGTTGAACTATAGAAGTAAAATTGTCTCTGTATTCACTTACACTTGCCTTCTCGCCCAATTAGCTAGCTAGTCATGTCCCAATGGTGATGCTAACCAGAGACAATTTATTGCCCGGAAGCTTTGGACTGAATCCCCTACCCCTTGCCTTTTGTTGCTTGAAGTATCTTGTTTTTTATTTCGATTCAAGTGATATCAGTGTTTAAGGTAACCAATGGTTTAGGTACTGTATGGTACTTTTTGCTGGAATTGCAGCTGAAGCTCTAATTTATGGCGAGGCAGAGGGTGGAGAAAATGATGAAAATCTATTTAGAAGCATCTGTCTTCTTCTTGAGCCTCCACTGTCTGTAGCAGAGGTCTTTCCTCAACTGGTTACTCTGGTTTGAAGTTGCTGGTTCTTTTGATTTTTTCATCTCCAATGCTAACATTTTTAGTTTTTACCTTAACTTTCTTGCAATAAACAGATGTCTAATCAAGCAAGATGGTCCGTGTTGCAATCTTATAATTTACTCAAGTGGCATAAATCTGCACACCGAGCTGCCGTTAAAGCAATGGAAAGCGGTAGCAGTCTCAGTGGTGTAATTAGGAGGATCGAGGAGACACTGTATCGTGAAAAATGAACCTTGGAAGTTTACATAAAAGAAACAAATTTTGTCTTGTAAGTTGCATACAGGTTAGCATCTCTGTTGTTCTTTTAAGTTGCTCGCTTTTTCCTTTTCTGAATCTTTCAAATAATTTTGTGTTCATTTTCCCTCTTGGACAGGTTTACGTGATGCATTTGATGGGGAGCTGGTTTTACCGGTCTTTATGTAACCATTGCATATTTGCAGATGCGATATGCATTGGACCCTATCTAGTCTAGCAGAATCAATCAAGAATTTATGTTTTCGTGTTGAAGTTGGTCCCAAATGTACTCAACACGGTTAGATATGTAAGGATGATAGATGAGTTTAGAGTGATTCTTAGCCGTGCATAGGTTTTCTGCTAAAAGGTATAGAAAATGGTTTGTAAATAACTATTGTCATTCATGGACAATCGTTTCTTTTATCATGTTCCAAAATGTATTTATTATTTTGGTCTTCTACTAGTAGTAACCATGACTGAGTTAACCCCAACACATCTTCCTCAGTTTTACCCATATAGGATTTCTATCAAATGGTATATAATGTTGATAACATGACTATCAAAGTGTTGTGTGATACGACTATAAAGCTTATAACTCCCAGTAGAAGTGCCTAACTCTCTCTGTAATAATATTTGATATCTCATCTCCTTCAATCCGCTTGGTTAAATAGTCCATGTCTAGAAGAAAAAAACTCAACTATTTTGCGGCCAATGAAAATGGTCATAGAATGCCAACATTCCATATATAAAACGACCGCATCGAGGTTAATGATTGTAGGATTTAGGCAGGGGTGTGAGGAAAATCTGCAAATGTTGACACTTACCACATTTTTTTAACAAATTCTGAGTTCTTTTAACAAGGTTCGCCAATAGAACCATGTCCTCAACATCATGTATGGAATGATATTAAAACAAAAGCTAGGAATATACAATATACCAGTAAAGAAAAACGTGTTACAAGAACAAATGGTGCCTGCAAAATATGCAGTGACAGTTTGGTTTTGTAGTTTGACAATGTATCTTTAAAATGGTGCCTGTGGAATCAACAATATCTAGATTAAAGAGTGAAAAGCAACCATTATTTATACCCACAAAGCAGTAGCAAAAGCACAAATATGTGAGTTACAAAAGCTTAGTTAAAAGCATGTTAAAACTCATATTGACAATTAATTTTGAAACAGTCCTAACACTTATAGATAGAATGGCAAGAAACTGAGATATAATTGAAATCAACTATCTGGTGTCTGTTATATGTATTACATGTCGAGTAACTACAGTCACTATAAATATGGTTTCAGCAATGTGCAGTGTTCAGATGGAATCAAAACAAAATTGAGTCCCACGTTGAATAATTAGTACTATTATAGATGGTTTATATATTATTGAGGCAGACTTTTGAAATTCAACAGATTCAAAACTCAAACAAATTCAAAACTTGAAACTATTGAATTCAACTATCTGGTGTCTGTTATATGTATTACATGTCGAGTAACTACAGTCACTATAAATATGGTTCCACCAATGTGCAGTGTTCAGATGGAATCAAAACAAAATTGAGTAACTACAGTCACTATAAATATGGTTCCAGCAATGTGCAGTGTTCAGATGGAATCAAAACAAAATTGAGTCCCACGTTGAATAATTAGTACTATTATAGATGGTTTATATATTATTGAGGCAGACTTTTGAAATTCAACAGATTCAAAACTCAAACAAATTCAAAACTTGAAACTATTGAATTCAACTATCTGGTGTCTGTTATATGTATTACATGTCGAGTAACTACAGTCACTATAAATATGGTTCCACCAATGTGCAGTGTTCAGATGGAATCAAAACAAAATTGAGTAACTACAGTCACTATAAATATGGTTCCAGCAATGTGCAGTACTATTATAGATGGTTTATATATTATTGAGGCAGACTTTTGAAATTCAACAGATTCAAAACACAAACAAATTCAAAACTTGAAACTATTGAATCTGGCCTTTTGATTTGCATCACTAAAAGTTCACTCTTTACAAACAATTCATTATTTTTAACCAATTACTTTTTTCTTCCAAACAACTATTTTTTAAAATAAAATTACATTTTAATATGATTTATCTATAAACTTTTTTTTTCTATTTTTATTTACTTTTAAATTTAAAATATTAAGTAGTAACATTAATAAAATAATTAACATGGATAAAAATTAAACTTTATCTTGTTACTAAAAAGTGTTTAAACTATTTTCTATTTTTATTAGTATTGGTGTCTAAACTCTCACGATAGATACAAAATTACTCATGATTTAGTTTTTACTTAATTCTGTTAGAAGCCATAATTCGATGTTCTAATTAAAAACTAGCATTCAACTGTGTCGAAGTAGCTAGTTGAAATTCAGGAGTCAGCAGTATTTGACATAGTCGAATATAGCATATAGTAGTGTCGAAATGTAACTTATATGTTTGTATGTTACATTTTGTACGTTTTGGGCTTGAGTCGGTTTGTATAGATTGAGCATGTGTTTGGGTTGTCTATATAAAAGGTTTTGTATGATGTAAATATAGAACTTTTGCACCTGCTGCTCGTCTTGAACCCATAAGATTGCTTCTAGAAGTGACATGCATGCTAAAGTTCAAGTTATTTCAAATGGATGTGAAAAGCGTCTTCTTAAATTCACACTTAAATGAAAAAGTTTATGTTAAACAACCCAAGTGGTTCATAGATCCTAGTTTTCTAAATCAGGTTTATAAATTAAGGAAAACTCTCTATGGATTGAAACAAGCACCTATGGCTTAGTATGAAAGGTTAACTAAGTTTCTTGTCCACAATGGCTATAGAAAAGGAGGAATAGACAAGACCTTGTTTGTTAAAGAAAAGCATAGTGAACTCATGATAGCTCAAATATATGTTCGGAGGGATGTCAAACCAGATGGTTCAACATTTTGTCAAGCAAATGCAATATGAATTTGAGATGAGTCTTGTTGGCGAACTAACTTATTTTCTTGGTTTTCAAGTTAAACAAATGAATGGTACTATATTCATTTTTCAAAATAAGCATGCTAAGAATATAGTAAAGAAGTTTGGCTTAGAAAATGCTAGTCACAAAAGGACATTTGCTGCAACACACTTGAAATTAACTAAGGATGAAAAAGATGTTGATGTGGATCAAAGTTTATACATGAGTATGATTGGTAGTCTGTTGTATCTTATAGCTAGCAGACCAGACATCACTTTTGATGTATGAGTTTGTGCTAGATATCAGTTTGAGCCTAAAATGAGTCATATTACTCAAGTGAAGAGGATATTAAAATACATCAATGGTGCTAGTGATTCTGGAATGATGTATTCTCATAGTCCAAATTCCATGCTTGTAGGGTATTGTGATGCAGACTGAACATGTAGTGCTGATGATAGAAAAAAATACTTCTAGAAGATGTTTTTTCTAGGGAAAAAAATCTTATCTCTTGGTTCAATAAGAAGTAAAATTGTGTATCTTTATCTACAGCTGGGGTTGAGTATATTGTTGCAGGAAGCAATTGCTCTTAATTGATTTGGATGAAACAAATGCTAAAAGAATATAATGTTAAATATGATGTCATGACATTATATTCTAACAATATGAATGCAATATATCCAAGAATCCCATTCTACATAGTAGGACAAAACATATTGATATTCATAATCACTTTATTAGGGATCTTATTGAGGAAAACATTGTGAATCTTGAGCACGTGGCCACTGAGAAGCAATTGGAAAACATATTTACTAAAACTTTGGATGCAAATCAGTTTGAGAAGTTAAGGGGCGAATTGAGAATTTGCACGATTGATGAGTTATAACAATTACAAGCATGGAGGAGTGCAACAAATACTTTCTCTTCCCTCCATTTAATGGTGAATCTTATTGAGGATGCCAGTTTGATGAAGAGTGTTGCTGGTTTTGGTGACTATTATGAGATGGTGGTGAAGAAATTCATTGCACACATTTCTAAGGACTGTGACAGTAAGATGAGCAAGGAGTACAAGAAGGTTTATGACTGAAGTAAATGTGTGGACTTTTCTCCTGAAACTATCAACATGTTTATGAGTAGGAGTGAGGAGGATAAAAATGAGGTGGAAGTGACCGATAATGGTGTTATTCTCAATCAACACCTTGGTATTTTGGTCAACTCTGATGTTGCATTTAAGAGGGAATCTCCTCTTTCTTTACTCTATAGGATGCTTGCAGGGACACATGTCTCATGCATTGTTGTGACATCTGGTAAGGTGGTGATAAAGATAAGGAAATAGAAGATTAGTGATGTTATCTGAATTGTTTTTGTTTTTGCTTCTGAGCTTTTTGTTTTTTTGTTTTGTTTTACTTCTGATTTTTGTGCACCTCAGCTTTTGGCATGTATCTTCTGTTACTGATGACATGATCTGCTACTGGTGAATGGAAGGTTGTCTTCTGAAATATGATTGACTTCTTTTTGTTAAAACAAGTATTCTAGCGAGATGTTGTATAAGATGTCTTGACATGTTGGAGCGACATCAAAGCATATCTTATTTCACGCGTTTTGAAGATTTGGTTTAATCATTGAAGATTATTTGAAGATTTGTTTTACGTATCTTTCGGTCCAAGCTGTGTGTGTTTCTAGAAAATGCTAAATTCGATTATTATTTTGACGTGTTTCCTAAGATTGGTTTTTATAAAACAAATAAGGAAACATTTTATTTTGCTCAGACTTTTTTAGATTAGTTGGGCCCTAGCCCATGCATTACTGGTATTATAAAAAGAAAGTCTCTGACCTATGAAAAATAAGGAGTCGCATATTGTGAGAGTATCTGTTAGGGTTTTGTTCATTGTTATTTGTGAGTCATTCTTATATCACCTTGATACTAGAGCCGGACTGCTTTAGTAGAGTTGTAATTGTGAATCACTCATAAGCTTTTAAGCAAGAGTGCATTCTATTTCTTGAAATGTGTCTTCTTCTTTAACTGTTTACTTTATCATCACTGTTGTGTGATTG